GCCATAGATTTCTGGGTGTTAATTTTGTATCCTGCTACATTGCCAAATTCATTTATTAAGTCTAGTAGTTTTTTGATAGAGTCTTTGGGGTTTTCTATGTGCAATATCATGTCATCTGCAAATAATGACAGTTTTACTTCTTCTTTTCCAGTTTGGATGCCTTTTATTTCTTCTTCTTGTGTAATCGCTATGGCTAGCACTTCCAGCACTATGTCAAACAAGAGTGGTGAAAGTGGGCATCCCTGTTTTGTTTATGTTCTTAAGGAAATGGTTGTAGTTTTTGCCCATTGAGTATGATGTTGGCTGTAGGTTTATCATATATGGCCTTGATCATGTTGAGATATGCTCCTTCTATTCCCGCTTTGCTGAGAGTTTTTATCAAAAATGGGTGTTCGATTTTGTCAACTGCTTTTTCTGCATCTATTGATATGATCATGTGATTTTTGTCTTTCAATTTGTTTATGTGATGTATCATGTTTATTGATTTATGAATATTGTACCAGCCTTGCATCCCTGGAATAAATCCCACTTGATCATGGTGTATGATCTTTTTAATATATTGCTGGATGGGATTTGATAATATTTTGTTGAGAATTTTAGCATCTATGTTCATCAGGGATATTGACTTGTAATTCTCTTTCTTTGTAGTGTCTTTATCTGGTTTTGGAATTAGGATTTTGTTGGCCTCATAAAAATAGTTTGGAAGTGTTCCTTCCTCTTAAATTTTCTGAAGTAGGTTGAGGGGTATAGGTGTTAGTTCTTCTCTGGATGTTTGGAAAAACTCTCCTGTGAAGCCATCCAGACCTGGGATTTTGTTTGGTGGGAGTTTTTTTTTATTACTGCTTCTATTTCATCAGTTGTTATAGGCCTGTTCAGGCTTTTTTTATTCTTCTTGATCAAGTTTTGGGAGATTGTATTTTTCTAGGAATTTGTCTATTTTATCCACGTTGTCCATCTTGTTGGCATATAGTTGTTCATAGTATTTTCTTACAATCCTTTGTATTTCTGTGGTGTCTGTGGTTACTTCTCCACTTTCATTTATGATTTTATTTATTTGGGTCCTCTCTCTTTGTTTCTTGATGAATCGGGCTAATGGTTTATCAATTTTGTTTATCCTTTTAAAGAACCAGCTCTTGGTTTCATTGATTTTTTGTATTATTTTTTTAGTCTCTATGTTATTTATTTCTGCTCTCATCTTTATTATTTCCTTCTTTCTACTTACTCTGGGCTTTTCTTGTTGTTCTCTTTCTAATTATTTAAGTTGTAGGGTTAAATAATTTATTGCTGATTTTTCTTATTTTTTGAGGTATGCCTGTAATGCTATGAATTTCCCTCTCAGGACTGCTTTTGCTTTGTCCTAGAGATTTTGGGTTGTTGTGTGTTTGTATTCATTTGTTTCCAGGAAGTTTTTGATTTCTTTCTTGATCTC